TCAAATTTGATTTTATTCTCCAGAGCCCTAAAGTTAACCAGCTGGAATCATTTTTAAGGACCATTCTATTTAACTTTTGGAAACGAAGCATCTGCCTTTTAATGGAAAAACTACTTCTCATTGTAAAGATAGCACACACTGTTCTTGGCCTCTTTGATCTCCAGAAAAGGGAGTTTAGATATCTCCCTCTGTCCCCACTATCTTGAGCCTCCTGTGTCAACAAAACAGGACAGATTGATAGCTAACTTTTTTTTTGATAATAAAAGTAGCAGCCCATTCTGTTAAGTATCAGGCAAGGCAGCCTATGCAGGCATATCTGCCTCTCAAGAAGTCTTAGGAGGCTTAGGGATCCATACTGAAACGCTCCATATAGCCAACCTCAAAGCCACTGTATTCATACAAGAACCCGGTTTATCATGCATTCAAATTTCTGTACCTCAAAAAGCATCTACAAAGTGTAATTAGCTAATCAATTGATTAATCAAATATTCCTACTTGGCAAAAGTCCCTGCTGTGAGGGGACACAGTTAAGATAGGTCCCTTCCTTAAGAATACTGTAACCCAACTGAAGAAATAGGCTGTGGAAGAAGTAAGATGTCAATTAACAGCACAAGGCACACATGGCCAGTTCATACAGCCCATATCCAGCAACACAAACCTGCATTGAACATTTATTATACAACATATGCTTTACATGTATTTTCTCATTAAAGCTTCACACTCCTATGAAATAGGTAATTGCAGTCTCTTTAGATAAGTTGAGTAGCAGATCTAAAGTCATGCAGTTAAAAAACAGTTTCAAGGTCAGGTCTGATTCCAAAGCCGAGGTGAATAACCACAGAGCCCCTGCAGCTTGCAGAGCTCACAAGGCTTGGGGCTGACCTGGCCCTTATTCCTGGCTGGATAAGGAAGGGACCTCTGAGCTAGGCTTTAAAGTGGGCAACACTAAAATAGGACAGCAACGGAGACAGGTCACTGTGTGGCACTGTGGTGGAAAGTGTTGGAGACAGAAGATAGAGGAGAAGGGGAAAGAGGACATATGGTGGCAGCTGCTTGGGCACAGCCACTTCAGGGTGAGGAATGAGTGAAGATGGCTACCTTAGGCCATATCGACACGTCCCCCTTCTGTGAAAAATGCCATTATGCCACACAGGAAGGGTGGGAGAGAGATCTGACAGTGGAGTCTGGTAGGAAAGCAGTCTGGCCTTTCCTTTTGCCCTTCCTTCTGCCCCTCTCTTGCCTCAGGGCAATACCCCATGCTTTCCACCTACCCAGCCCAAGTCTTGTGCCCATGCCACAAGACTTTTGAGACCCCCATCCCAAGAGGGGCAGTTTCTTGGCTTGAAGTTGTCTGATAGAGCCTGCCTGATTATAAGCAGGCCTCATCTCCACTCTGTCTACTGGATCTGGGCTCTCAACTGGGGTGGGAGGTGGGGAAGTGGGGAGGCTGGTCCAGGCTACCACTTCCTCTCCTGACCATTTGATAGCCATCCTTGCAAGGAAGGTGGTGGGGGGCAGTTCTGTAGCATAGAACAGTACTGTTCTTAGGCCCTCCTATTTCAGAAAAACTCTCAAGCCATGCTTTTCCTCTGCTCTCATACCAGGACAACAATCATCAACACAGAAGACTTCTGCGACCAAATGTGTGGGGATCCCCCCACACACACATACACACCAAGCCATGGGCACCAGCTGGGTGTCCTCCAATTCAGTTCCAACACTATCTACCTGGAAAGAGTGTCTGATCCTACAGGTCGAGGGCTCAGTCAGATGAAGAGATACGTTAGGCGAGGTCTAGAAGGATCCTGAGCGCAGGAGCTTTTGTCCTCACAGGATAAGTTCTTCGCCTTCCTGTCTGCCTCCACGTGTTCAGCTCTCCAGAAACTCCCTGAACCCTGTCCTCTGGGCCTTTTATGGAAACTTCTTTGGTTTCCCATGACTGACGCATGTAATTGAACAAAATGTGATTGGACAAAAAGAACATGATCTAATCCCAGCAAGGTGTGTCTGTCCAGATTCTTCATCTCTCTGCAGCATTCCTTCCTCCAGGGTATGGGGCATGACTTCCTCTGGAATGAGGATCTTATGATCCATAAACAGATTATAGAATCCTGCCTTGGGTGGATGAAAGGGCAAAAGAAGGTCAGAGAGAGAGATTGTTTCCTGAGGGCTAAGCTACCTCTATGTTATAACAAAAGACTGTAACAAGTATCATGGGAACCATGGACAAAAACATATACATATGTAATCATAAGATCACACCCCCCACCACACACCACATTGTTCTATGTAGAAATGCCTTCACTATACAGCCTTTCATCCATCCATTCATTCATTCATTCACTCACTTCAATGAGTAATACTGAATTCCAAACCAGGAACTGTGCTACGTGTTGGGGGTGACATGGCCCGTAGCCTCAAGAGCCTTCTCTTCCATGGTTGATGGTGGGTATTGATGACAGATGGTCAGTCAGTAGTAACTGTAATGAATGTTAGGATAAAGAGAAGCCCAGAAGGCTCCTTGGTGTTCCAACTGCTCACAGGATAAGTTGCTTGTCTTGTTCTCTCCTGTATCTCCAATGCCCATGATCATACCTGGCACAGGAAGTGCTCAGTGTTTACTGAATTCAGTGACGTTCTGACTGATGCTGAGTGCCAACCCTCCTGCTCAGTGGCGCCTCCCCATTAGCCCTAAACCTGATATCTAGATGAAAACAGATAAGGATATGTGACAATTCTTCAAGTAGGCCACAGAGTGTTCCAGCTGAGAGGAAACTGACATAGCTTTTTACATCATCACTGCCATTCCCTCCATCATGTCCCCACAGTGGGGGTAGTTAATGAACTACTTGGACCTTCATGCTTTCCTAATTTCTCCTTATCCTGGATGCTCTTCTAAGAATACTGAAGTTGGTCAATATTCCTATTAAAATGTAGGAATCTGAACCTTGATCCAAAATTTCTGATTGAGATCTCACCTCAGTTTCCATGTGCATCCTCAGAGGCTCTACCCTGGCTCACCCTGGAGAGTAGGGGGCAAGAAGTCTGATGTTACTCAGATTTCTCTCCTGTGCCAAAAAAAACCTGCCTGCAAGAATTGGAATGTGTATTAGTCCATTCTCAACTTGCTATAAAGAAGTGTATTAGTCCATTCTCACCTTTGCTATAAAGACTGGGTAATTTAAAAGAAAAGAAGTTTAATTGGCTCATGGTTCTGCAGGCTGAACAGGAAACATGGGAGCACTTGCATCTGGGGAGGCCTCAGGAAACTTTTACTCATGGAGGAAGGCAAAGCAGGAGCAGGAACGTCTCACATAGTGGGAGCAGGAGGAAGAGGAGGGCAGGAGAGATGCTGCACCCTTTTAAACAACCAGATCTCATGATAACTCACTATCATAGAACAGCCCTGAAGGGATGGTGCTAAACCATTTATGAAGGACCACACCCATGATCCAATCACCTCCTTTTAGGCTCAACCTCCAATACTGGGAATCACAATTCTACCTGAGATTTGGTCGGGGACATAGATCCAAACCACATGGGAATGCAAATCTTTGGGGAGTAGACGGTTACAGAGCTCCTACTATTAAGTCAAAAGGTTCTTGCTCTCTGATCTTTCTGCTGGTCTCCCCCAGGTGCTGAAACAGTGAGGCCCCTCTGCTAGAGGAAGTCCTTTCTCTGTAACTGCTCCAACTGGCTCAATGGCTGGGAGCCACCTCTTCCTTGAGTTATGGGGCTGTGGTAACAGCAATCCTGGCTTCTGGTTGGGTCTAACAAATAGGAGCCATCCATAAAGAGTGATATTTTTTCTTAAGCAATGTCACACCTGAGGTTCTTAACATGGGTTAAGAAGATGGCTATCTAAGCTAGTTTCCCACAGGCCCTGGGGCCCCACAGAAGCAGAGCCATTCTAGGAGAAGCTGAGAAAGATCATGAGTGAAGAAGTTCTCTGAGGAAGCTCAAAAGTGACTCTGCATTTGGGTAACAGTGGCCCTCAAGGCAGAGCAGGTATCTGGGCAGTATAAAAGTCGTGAGGAGTAAATGGGAGGGATGGGAAAACATGCTTTCCTAGGGCTAGGTAAGCGCCCAACCCTGGCCCAGCTCTCCAACCCCGCCGCCAGAAAGCATCTCTGCATGGTCTTGGGACATGCTCAAAGCCTCCCAGCTGAGTAGCAACAGAATGGCTTTAGAAGCAGGTTTCCTGATTCCTGGGGTTGTTTTTTTTTTTTCCTCATCACTCTGCCATTTTCCGGGTCTGGATCTCATGGGAGAGTTCTTGGCTTGTCAAATCCTGGAACTCTCCCTTCAAAGACGAGTCCTGTTTGCCAGGCAGGCCTGGGCTTTTCTGGTTCTGATGGGTGGATTTTTCTTTTTCTTTTTTCTTTCTTTCTTTTTTTTTCTTTTTCCTTTTTCTTTCTTTCTTTCTTTTTTTTTTTTTTTTTTTTTTTGCACCTTCCAGTGCCAACTGTCTCCCTGCCCCTATCCATCCCCTTGCTGGGAAAGGTCATCCGGAGTCTTCAGCGACCCCGTGGCGCCTCACGGCCATGGGGAGAAGTGATGGGCAGCCTAGGGCTGGGCCTAGGACCAGACCTCCCATGGACAGTGGGCACGTGCCTTAGCATCTGGGCATGCTGAGCTTTTTCTTCAAAGAGGGCAGTGTGGGGGCAGAAGCGGGTGGAATCCAGAGACTTCTCGCCATAAGAATTCCTGCTCTCCTCCTCAGTCTGACCCTTGCTTTGCCCGTCTGGGCCACGGCAGTGCCCACGGGCAGAGCAGTGGGAAGAGGAGAAGAGGGTTTGCTCAGCTGGCGGGACTCTGGGAGCGCGAGCCCTGCCAGCCCCTCCTCCGCGGGCTGTCTCTACTGGCTCTTCTCCCGCTTCTGCCCGCCTGTCCCTCTGGGCTGCTCGGGCGCCACCGCTACTGTCCCCAACCCGCCCTGCCAGCTGGGCCAAAGAGTGACTTGACTCACGGCGCTGCCACCAGCCCACAGCTTGCCCGAGGCGTATAAAAGCTGCCAGGGCCGAAGGCTGCCAAGCCCTGCGCGGCCTGAGGTGCACAGAGCATGGCCCGAGGCGCGGAGCGAGGCCGTTGGGATGCGGGCTGGGGCCTGCGCGGCGCCCTGGCGGCCGTGGCGCTGCTCTCGGCTCTCAACGCTGCGGGCACGGTGTTCGCTCTGTGCCAGTGGCGCGGGCTGAGCGCGGCGCTGCGAGCGCTGGAGGCGCAGCGGGGCCGGGAGCAGCGGGAGGACGGTGCTCTGCGCGCCTTCCTGGCCGAGTTGAGCCGCGCACCGCGCGGAGCCCCCGCCCCACCCCCAGACCCTGCCAGCTCAGCGCGCAACAAGCGCAGCCACGGCGGGGAGCCCGCACCGCGTATCCGCGCCGAGAGCCAGGACATGCTGATGATGATGACCTACTCCATGGTGCCGGTAGGCGGGGGCTCGGTTCCCCGTGGCGCCCCAGCCGGGTGGGCGGCTGGGGGTGTGGGGCGAGGACGCCGACGCCCTTTCCTCCCCTGGCCAGGCGGCGAGGTGCTGCCGAGAGGGCCCTGGGCACGAGTAGCTGGGGATGTCAGTTTGGCAAGCACCTCAACCCACTGGAGTCTGTTTTCTCATGTGTGAGGTTAGGGAGAGGGTGAAGGAGTGAGTCTCTTCTACCTCTGACATTCTTTGAGTCCGCATGTAAATGAAGGGCGAAGGCAGTGCTTTTTAAGAGCCTGTTTTCCTTCTCAACTTAGACAAGTTTTTGTCTTCTGCTGTGAACAGAGCCACAGCAGCCTTGGGGCTCCGCCTGTGCCACTGGCCTGTGACTGGGGCCCTCTGAGCGGATGGAGGCGCGTTTCTGAAAGAGCATAGGCTTTTTCAATAAAGGGATTCTTTCTCGGGCATCATCTAGTGGTCTGGCTTTTCACCTGGCATCGCCTCATTCCCAGGAGATGGCCGGCCTAATTGTTTCCGTTTAAGTGAAAACAGCCAGCCCTAGTTTTACTGCCCACCTGGGACCTAGATGCTGGGAAAGTTGCCCCTGGATGTCAAGTAGTTCCAAATGGGAGACATCAATATGGTGCAATTTTTTTCTTAAGATGCTGTGTCAAAGCTGAGGTTCTTAACATGGGCCTGCGGATTACTCTCCGCATGGGCTCCAGGAAATCTGTGGAACTGCAGAAATTGCCAAGTGTGTGTGCCTGTGACCTCCTGCCCAGGTGGATGACGGTCTGCAGGTTTTCACTAGATCTTCAAGGGGGGTCTCATTGCATGCCTTCCCCAAAGGGTTTAAGAAACACTGCTCTGAAGAAAGTCTTCAAAGCCACAACGATTTTTTTTCCAGTGTTAAGTTTCTTTGCTTTTGCTGCTTTTAATTCAGTAAGTATTTAACAAATACTATTAGATCACATTGCAGTTCCCCATCCCATTTCATTATCTATTACAATTGCGACAGTCTTATTTCACTTTGTAATTAGAAAGATTTCAGCTATTACCTCCAGTCAAGTGTGAGCCATACTTCGGAATCCTAGGTATTTGAAAATAAATCGACTTAAAGCTTCTGTTATCATAGAAGCTTTTAAATATCTTACATGAGAAGAAATGTTTTTAAAACTACATAAAAGTACTACATATTTCAAATACATCTTTTGAGAGAGATCAGGTTTTCCATTTTTTTTTTTTTTTTTTTTTCAATTCGTGTTATTTGAAAATCTGGACCTAAGCAAGTTTCAAAAAGGGACTGCTATAAGATGAGAACACTTACTTAGGGGAATTCATTCTCGCCCTCTCAGCTTTCTACTCTACATTTTAAGGCTTTTAAAAAATCCTCAGAAAGGGATGCATCTGAGCATCAATGTTTTATACTTCTAATCCTACTTTTAAGGTAGAAGCTTTTGTATCCAAATTGCAACCTATTCTGTCACTAACAAATTAAATGGAGATACTCTTCTCTGTATCAAAGCTAGATTAGGTGACCTGGCAGTGCTACCACCAACTCTGTTACAATCAGAGAGCAGAATTACCGTGTCAGTCAGATGGGATGCAATAGTAGATTATCATCGTCTCATCCCCAACTGCAGTAGGTATGTTTTGACCTTTTAGAGTCATGAGGGACTGTCCCTGAGGCTAGGAGAAGGCAGTCCCCTGACCCTCATCCCCCTACCTCCTATGACATTGGTGAGTTTGATGCAGATGGTCCAGGCACTACACTTTAAGAAACACTCCTCTAGAATACTGTGTCTTAACACTGTCTTTATTGTGGACACGAATATCTTGGGAATCTTGTTAACATGCAGATTCTGATTCAGAAGGTCTAAGATGGGGCCTAAGATTCTGCATTTCTACCGAACTCCCACTGCTACCAATGCTCCTGGCCTGAAGACCACATTTTGAGTAGTAAGGTTGCCTACTGGAATTATTTGGGGAGTAAGCTTTCAAACTTACTGATGCCTGAATCCCACCCCCAGAGATTCTGAATTTGTTAGGCCACAGCCTTGGGGTGGAGTGCCCACTCACCAGCAGGAAGGACCTTTGCATGACTTCCTATGGATAGTAGCTGTGTCAGGCATCACACTCTCACCAGATCTCCATCAAGGTCTTTTCTTCAGGCCAAGGAGCCAATTTTATTACCGAAAAGTTTTAAAATTTATTACAGCAATATTCTTTCCATTCAGCTTCACAGTTTTCCTCATCTTTACTCTGGGCTCTACTCAGAACAAATATTCATATGAGAAAACAACTTTTTATTTAAAAAAAAATCATTGGGAAGTTCTTGTAGAGAAGTTAAGACAATGCCCTTGTATGTATCATGGACACAAGTGTACACACTTCTTATGGGTGAAGGCTATACCTTCCCTGGCCCTTTTATACACCACCATATCTTGATTGAGAGTAAGACCCAAGGTCCTCACCCTGAGATCTTATTTCCTTACAGGTCTAGGAACAAAGAAACAAACTCACTATGCAGACTAATGTCAACATTTCAAAAAGCCTTCCAGAATGGTTAATTTATCCAAGATGAACCTCAATGTAACTGATACTTTGAGTTTCTGTACTGTTGGCTGAAAATACATCAACTCAGCATGAGAATTCTGTTTAGCTGAGCATATTCTTACCAGAACCTGGTTGGCAGCTGTAAATGACTTCATTAAAAAGACAAGATAATTATTAAGTACAGTTAATTTGGCACAACACAGAAGCACATTAAATTTTTAAAACCATGTGCATACTCTTGGGAGAAAGTAATAAAAGTGGCCCTGGATGGGGCTTGGGAACCACTGAATTAGGCCAGTAATGGGAATAGGGATCTGGTGAGCGGGGAGAGAAAGAAAATTCAACCCATCTGCTACTGACTCCTGCAGGAGATGCTACTTCTGTTTAGTCTCTTTTTCTCTGACCTCCTCTGGTATCCTCCTTGTTCTCTTCCCGTCAGCTACTCTCTCTCATTCCTCTCTTCCTATCTCACATTTGCTGACATTCTGGTAGCTTTATCATCCTGTCTTTACTTGTCCAAAATCCAGGGTCAAGCACCCAGAAGGAGTTTCACAAATATTTTCATAAATTAAACAAACATAGAGAAGATATAATACTCTGAGACTGGTGATTACGTATCCATGATAATTGTCGTCCTTGAGGGACCATATGCATTTCCTCACCCGGGATATTGTTCAAAAGGTCCTTGGCACCTCTCTAACATGAAAATCAATCTGGCTATTTTAAAGTAGGAATTACATTTCAAATGATTTTTTCAAGGAAGGCAAATAAGATTCCATAATTACCAAATGATGAAAAGGCATTTGACAAAATTTAACATCTATGCTGGATTTTTAAAATATGCGATAAAAATAACAATAGGGAACACTAGTTCTTTGAGATATTAAAATATAATTAAAGTCTGAGTAATTAAAACAGAGTGGGATATGAATAGGGACAGAGTGGAAAGTCCAGAAATAGTCTTAAAGACATATGGCAATTTAGTGCATAATAAAGATAGTAACTCACCCAGTGGGGAAGAATTAACTTAATAAATGATTTTGAAACAACAGGCAAGCCCTCTGGGAAAAGATAAAGGTTAGAAAAGAATAGTTTTATTCTCACAATGTATACTTTAACAAGCTCTAAATGGATCAAAGATTTACATTTTTAAAAAATGAAACTAAAAGAAAATACAAGTATTTTATTTTTAATTTTGTAATTGGGCAGATTTCCTTTCAAATTATAACTCAAAAGCCAGAAAAGAAACAAACAATAAATAAATTTGACTGTATTTTAAAGGCACATGAAGCAACAACAAAACTTCTGCACAGCAAACAACAACAAAAATTAAAACATCGCAAATAAAAGCAAAAGATAAATAACAAACTAGAGGGCCAGATGCCGTGGCTCATGCCTGTAATCCCAGCACTTTGGAAGGCCAAGCCAGGTGGATCACCTGAGGTCAGGAGTTCAGGACCAGCCTGGCCAACATGGTGAAACCCTATCCCTACCAAAAATACAAAAATAGCCAGACATGGTGGCGAGTGCCTGTAATGCCAGTTACTCAGGAGACTGAGGCAGGAGAACAACTTGAACCCGGGAAGAGGAGGTTGCAGTGAGCTGAGATTGCGCCACTGCATTCCAGCTGGGTGACAGAGCAAGACTCCATCTTACAAAACAAAGCAAAACAAACTGAAAAAACCATATCATATCATAGACATAATCTTTTTTTTTTTTTTTTTTTTTCCGAAACAGTCTTGCTCTGTCACCAGGCTGGAGTTCAGTGGCTCAATCTCGGCTCACTGCAACTTCTGCCTCCTGGGTTCAAGTGATTCTTTCACCTAAGCCTCCTGAGTAGCTGGGACCACAGGCACGTGCCACCATGCCCAGCTATTTTTTGTATTTTTAGTAGAGACGGGGTTTCACCATGTTGGCCAGGATGGTCTTGATCTCTTGACATAGTGATCCACCTGCCTCAGCCTCCCAAAGTGCTGGGATTACAGGCGTGAGCCACCGTGCCCAGCCAGACACATTAATCTTTCTAATACATTTAGCATTCCTAAAAGTTGATAAAACAAGAATTTGATAGGAAAATCAATAACAGAAATGAGAATCCAATAGGAAAATGAGATAGATAGTTCTCAGGCAAAGAAATATAAATGTCTCATAAGCACATGGGAAAAGGTCTCTTCATTTAAAAATGTAGATTACAACCACCCCAAAATATAATTTTCACCTAAAACCAGCATATGCAATCTGTGGCCCAGGATGGCTTTGAATGTAGCCCAGCTCAAATTCATAAACTTTCTTAAAACATTATGAGATTTTTTTGAGTTTTTTTTTTTATTTTATTTTTAGCTCATCAGTTATTGCTAGTATTAGTATTATTAGTATTTTATGTGTGGCCCAAGACAATTCTTCTTCCATTGTGGCCCAGGGAGGCCAAAAGATTGGACACCCCTAACCTAGCA